CACAGTTTTTCACCATACGGACCTCCCAGCCGGCAAATAACATATATGTATCAATATCTTTTAAAATATTTTTCTATTAAATTAATCCTCTGAAAGCAGCTGTTACATGATTATTTTGATTACAGTTGTCTAGCTGATTCGCCATGTTTAGTATTTAATTTTCATTCTATTCTGAGGGTGAACAGCCAGAAAATTATGGGAAAAGAAAGAAACGAGATGAAGCATTTGCTACCGTTAACCATCACGACGAGGTGAGTTTCAGGAAAAAGTCTTTAAAACGTTTGATACAAGAGTTTTACTTTCAAAATAGTCTCGGAGAATGTAATTTGCGCCTTTCTCTTGTAAGATTTAATACAACTTTGGCTTATTTTTTGTTAAAGTTCTAGCCAAAATTCAGCTAACTATTATCGATTTAATATATAGAGATCATCGAATTTTCCATTTCGATTGAGTTGCAAATGTACTCTTGAAATCTTGTATCAAACCTATTTTCGCAAGGTTATTTTTTGTACCATTGCTGCGCATGTGAAAGGCCAAGACTTTAACTTTAATATTTCTGTTTGTTTCCAGCTGTGCATCTCAAATTAAAATTGTTTATGTACTCGTGTAAAGTAAAACAAAAATGTTATGTCCGATCGTAAATGTAAAGTTATTCATTATAGAGTTTTGAGGTCTTTTGAGCGCTATAGAAAAAGCTTACGCGCTTCTAAAATATTATGACTTCCGGCTTTGTATAGTTGTTTATAGGCTTCTGTGAGGAAAAATAGATTTATTTAAACACTGTGCATGTTCTAATTAATAAGTTCATTAATTAGTTCATTAGCATTCTTTCTTTTATCGGAAGGAATCAGACTTCAGTGAAGAAGATGACGGAATCAGCATAGAAGAGTTACAGGAAACAACTGGATGGAAGTTGTTAATGGAGAACTTGGATAAACAGTTCGAGCGAAAAAACTCTGACAATCAATGAGAAATTATGTCATTTTAAAGAGGCCAGTATTTTATTTATTTATTTTTTGTTTGCTGTCGATTACGGTGGCACACTCGTTGTGTGTCAGCAGCCAGTTTGTTTCTTAAAATGTTCACAGGATTTTCAATTCCTGTTTTTGGCTCCATTACCTCTGAAAGGGTGGTTGGATGCCACCTCACATGAATTCCAATGCCCTTGCAAAGAGTTCATCAACCCCAGGACAGACTACGGTCTCTATGTTGTATAACGTTGAAGCCTCCATTACGGTAATGGAGCTAAAGACCCTTCTTTAAATCTGATTTCTGACCTCTGTTTCCTATTTCTGTTCCTATTTCCTGTTTTCACTTCATATGTTTCCGTCGGGTAAATGGAAAAAAATTTAGAATGATAGCTCTCGCTAATTATTGGATTAAGATCCGAATGTCGCCAATTATTTTAATGACGAAGCGAAAGGAATGAAATTTTTGAATTGCAACAGTAGAAATTGAGCTCATTCACATCGAGGAAAACAAGTGAGAAAAATCCGATAAATAAAACTGAAAAATACACCAATAAACTCTAAGGGCACTGCAAAAAATTCCGCCAGAAGACTGGCTGGTCTCTATAAAGTTGTATTCACTGACTTTTTTTTATGTAGCAAAAGACGTGTAAAAATGTCTACTCGCTGAAAGCCAATAGGTTTTCAAATTTGGAAACCCAAGAGGAAAATTGTTTCGAATGGTTGCCCATTTTCAAAACCTAATTTCAAAGGGCATGTCAATGTTACAAATATTAAAGAAAGGTGAGGATTATAAGTCCTTATGTTTCCCATACTTCCCTTCTATTTATGGCAGACATTTTACTGTGGGAAAGTAAATATATTAAGGTATCGAGGCTAAAATTGGAATATATCTGCCTATCATTGGAGATGATGTTGCCATGGCAATGACATAAATCTAAAAATTGACACGTAGAACAGAAGCCTTATTACATCGTTAGCCACACTGGTAAATATCTCGAGGAAGAACTTTGAGATAAATTAACTAAACTTGCTTTCGTAACTCGCGCTCTGAAGGGAGGTTTATTTGTAAATACTCCTTAAAGTGAAAACTTACCTTATTCTGACTCAGGTACTATAGCTGACTACTTTCTCTGCATCACCACAGTTAAGAGGCAGGACTTTGAATTTTTATGGCTGGACTTTCAATTCCTGGTTTGCTATCCTTTTAATTAAATCCTACTTTTACTGACTTGCTACTCTGAGGAACAGGAAAACTTTCATTTTCAAAGACGGCGAACTTTTCAAGTGCCTTAAATAGTAAAAAATGGTATCAAACAGCCATTGTTTGAAACGAGTATTATGCAAAAACTAATCTTTCTCTTTTTTCCAATACAGCTTAGAGTACAATAGTTCATTTGAAGTTACTATGCAGAACAAATACTGATATACTGAATTGTTGTTGCAACTGAGTTGCAAAGTAGATTTGATAACTTGAAAGTCCCCGTTGTTTTCGCGAAGTAACCTGAAAACAAGTAAAATTTTACTACAGAAGAGTATAACTAGGCTTTAACACCATAGGTCACTTCTTGTAATAGAGGCTTAGCTTTATTAGTAATTTGCGGGTGCCCGCAATAAATCATAGTCAACATACTGCTCTATCCGACAGCCAAGCAACTTGGAAATTTCTAATCATAAGCGAAGTTATCGTGTAAAAGGCTACAAAGCTGTTTAATATCCATCATATAAGACTTATTACTCTTAATTAAATCTAATCAAGTGTAACAACTAGGTTTGAAGTAACACGTATCTCAGATTTGCAAAGCACAATCCATTTCTTCAAAACGCTGCTTCAAAACATCATGTAGACATAGCCATTTCAACTAAACGATCTAGTCAACAAGTGTAAAGCACGGACTTTGAGGATCAGTCTACTCGAAATTTTCGCATAATCTGAAGATTTGCGGGCATAGTTTATTCGACAGTAAGACAAAGCACATCAAGAATTTTTTCAGACAGATCTCGTTCAATATGTTTTGAAAACTAAAATAGATCAGTATAACACCCTGCCACCGCCTGCCAACCTCTTACGCAGAGTACAGGGTAAGAAAAATTAAAAGCAAGGATTACATTCTGGTTTAAGACCAAAAATGTGCAATTTATATATTACTTTCCAATACACTTCCTTTAGCGAGTTCTCGTCACAATTTTTTTGTTTACACACATAAATGCATTTTTCTGATATGTCCTTAAAGCCTTCGAAAAGAAGTGAACATCGAGATAAGTTTCTTTTCAGAAGGGGAGAGTCTTCTTTATCAACTTTATCTTGTGCAGTTCCTTCAGGTGGAAGAAGCTCGTTGACAGCGCAATACTCTGCACATGCTCCAAGAAATGTGGAATGTCCCTCTCCCCAATGATCACCAAAGAAGATCATTTTACAATTTTTACAGGTATCTTTTTTGGAACGATATCCGTCGTCTCCGCTTTTGTGTTGAAATGCTTCAAAAACCCATTCGTCTTCCTCTAGTTTCAGAGGCTCGAAATGCAAAATCGTTTTTGCAAGAGTCCGTTTCAGACGGATTATTCTGTTATACAAACAGATAGGCCTTAAGAAATGACTAACTGCTATTGAAGACCCAATAGAATGCTTGTTATTGCCGGGTTGTGAAATCTTAGCTAAAACTTTAGGCTTGAAGGTGTTTTTTATGTCAAGTTTCTTAAACCAGACGTTTGCAAGTTCAAAAACACGTTTGGCATGAGCTTCGCTTCCTTCGACATCATCTGGCTTTTCCGCGAGTGTGTAAATACTGAACTGAAAGGGAAAAAAATACAAACACTTTTGATTGAGAAACTGTTTGTCAAGATGTCTATCTACAAGCCTAGTGAAGGCCACTTTCTCTCACTTGGACATCTGAGAACCAGGCCAACTGCCTACGAGTCATTAATATCAATCACATAGTTCTATATGATAAGAAATGTTATAATTCTAAAGTTAAGCTCGTAAATTTGGCTACGGTGAGATTCAACAGAACTTCCCGGGGAGTTATATTCTCAAAGGCTTTGATGAGGGCTACTTTTTGGTAGAGCTCCTTGCTAGAGGGAAATTTGCAGTTCGAGTGCAGTGTTTGCAGGAAATAAAGTTGTGTTGTTATGAACGTTCATTTTTTTGCTTGTTTACTATGTTCGTCTGGATGTGAACCAAACCACTTAATTCTGGTTCTACGGGAAACAGTTGCTTATTTTTTCCCTTTGACTCTCAATGTTTGGGAAAGATCGAGATTCTCGGAAGCAGGCATTATTGCCGCAGTCGGTAATTGAAACGAGGTCTAATTTGGGCCGCGGTTTTGACAGTTTCGGAAAAAACCTAGCGTTTCGGTGATATTTTCTGCTTAGCTTGATTTAAGATTGTTTAGAGCGCGGTTTGCATGACTTGAGGGTTAAACGGCTCTAATTACATATGATTATTTATTGACAAAGTTTAGCCGTTGCTCAACAAAACCATGTCGAAAACAATCCTCTATTTAGTTGAACCTCTTACCTTAACATTTGTTTTTGTTACAGTGTCAAGAGAGGCAAAAGATAACAATGGAAGAACATTTATTTAATTTAAACCAACCCTCTTACAGAGAAAGCTGAGGCCCAATGATTGCGCAAACTGTTGTTGGGTTAGACCTCTTGTATAAAAGCCGGCCCTAAGTGTTTACTATTCACCTCCACCTTCGCGGGTGTTTGTATGCCCGAACTAAAATAGAAATCTTTTCCTCTTGAAAAGTGGTATTTTTTTTTAAAAGCACCAATCGATTTTGTTAAAATTTGAGCGGTACAGGCTATGCACGTGTCATCATGGCGGGCGGACGCGCATTTCTGAACTCCGTAATTTTCAGTTTTCTTATCCTGTGTAGCTCCTTGTACAATCTTAATACAAGATTTTTTACTAAGAAAAGTCAAAGTATAGACCTCTATAGTGTTTCTAGGGGGAATGGAGGTTATATTTGGGAGTATGAAGGCTCTTACACTGGTAAAATTCGGCTCACAAGAGTCCGCCATGTTGGATCATTTTATAGAAAATCTTTCTGTGACTCAAGACTACAGTATTACTGCAACTCCACAGCAACTTTTCAACTGAATAAGGTACTGGTGAGTGGAGATGTACAACTAAACCCAGGACCAGTCAAAAATCCTTGCACTGTATGCGAAAAAGCCGTAGTAAAAACACACAGATCGATGACTTGCGATGGATGTGGTTTCAAGACACTTATAAAATGGTGTAACGTTTTGCCAGTCGAATACGTGAACTTTCAAAATTTTAATGACCATACGTAGTTGTATTCTAACTGTGAAGAATATGATTTGAATTTCTCGGACACAAGAAACGACACAAGAATGGTTACCGAGGAGGATTATATGAAAGACCTGGCCGATAAAGTGCAGAGCTGCGCTTCAAAAGAAATCAAAGTGACCCACTTGAATGTGAGGAGTTTAAGGAATAAGATCGACGAAATAAGGTGTTTGCAAGTCTTTTGCAGGTTTGACATAATAGAAATTACTGAATCACACTTAGACAACTCCATCACAGACTCTCAACTGGAGATCGAGGGAATGAAATTTGTACGTCTTGGCAGGAACGGAAGGAGGGGCAGAGGGTGTATATTATACCACGCTGAATATTTTAAAGCTGTACATAGAAGGGACCTGCACACTCCATGTATTGAGGCACTAAGGCTATAAGTTAAGTTTCCTACAACTTCTGCTTTGTTTTCAGTAATGTGTAGACCGCCAAAAGACAATGCCTTTTTCAATACATTAAATACCACTTTGGAGAGGGCATGGTTAAAATCTTCTGGCATTTTTCTGCTGGGAGACCTAAATTATGCATGACTACAATGACTCTAGTGATACAGCATGAAGTACTAAGCTACAAACCATTTTTGATAATTTCAGTATGCAAAACATCATCACTAAACCAAGGGGAACTATAATTGATTCATCTACGCTGATTGATCTCATTGTCACGGCCCGTAGGAATTTGGTAACCTCAACGGGAGTATTTCCACTTGGTATTACTGACCATGATTTAATTTATGCCACTCTACGTCTAAGACACAAAAGGCCGCCTCCACGAGTCATCAAAATACGGAATTATAAGAACTTTGACGTAAACAGCTTCAAATCTGACCTCGTTAACGCCCCATTTCATGCCACCGAATGTTTGGAGGATATGGATGATGTTCTGTGGGCCTGGCAGTCTCTGTTTTCTGTGTTTCTGCACCACCGTAGATAACAAATGAAATACGCCTAAAGATGAACAGGAGATTTAAGCTTTTTAAATTAGCCGTAGCCTCTAAGTGTCCTACTAAGTGGTCGGAGTACAAAAGACTGCGGAATGACGTCTAAGCATCAAGCAAAAGCACCTTACTTTTCTGACTTTTTCAGTGAGGTTAAGAACACCAGCGCCTATTGGAATTTGGTAACTGAAGCAGCAAATCCAAAAGCCAGAAAAAGCATTGGACCCATTAAAAAAGAGGATGAAACTCTGGCTTTAACAGATAAAGAAAAAGCGAACTCGATCAATTTATTCTTCTCTAACGTGGGGAATAAGCTAAATAACTTACTGCCAACATCAACGCATTTGCAACCTATAACTTTGGAGAACAAAGAGGTACCACTTTTGTCTCAGGTTGTCTTAAACAGAGAAGCGGTATCCAGGAAGATTAACTCATTGCAAGTGAAAAAGTCTGCTGGACCGGACAATATTCATCCAAAGTTATTAAGAGTAGCTGGAGACACAGTGATTCCATTTTTGGTCAGCTTCTACCAGCATATTATTGATCGTGAAGCTGTGTTTTTGCAATGGAAAGTGGCAAGGATTACACCAATACACAAAAAGGACGATGAGACAGATATCGCCAACTACAGACCAGTCTCACCTCTGAGCATACCAAGCAAGATACTTGAAGAACTTGTGAATGACATATTAGTTGATCATGTTTTCACAGCTAACGACCTTGATTCGGACAGAGAGTGGGCATACCGCAAAGGATATTCTACTGATTTACTACGAACACAGCTGACTGAGCAATGGAGAAAAGAGCTTGATAAGGGAAAAGCCATTGCAGTTGTGTTTATAGACTTCAAGAAAGCCTTTGATTGTGTTTAGTACTCTCTCCTGATTACAAAGTTACAGCGCAATTTTGGTGTCTCTAGTCCCTTGCTTAACTGGTTAAACAGTTATCTAAGTGACAGAAAACAGTTCACTGTGGTCAACGGCGCCGAATCTGGGACTCAGCCAGTTCAAGTTGGAGTCCCGCAGGGCTCAGTTTTAGGACCAACATTATTTGCTTTATCTTCCAGCGACCTTCCATCCTCTGTGGCTTCGGAAGAGACATACATGTACGCTGACGACACCTCAGTATACTGTGTTGGGAACAATGGAAATGTAGCGGTTTCACTATTAAACAGAGCGTTAACAGAGCTGCACGAGTGGTGTCTCAGAAACAGGCTCATACCACACCCTAAAGAATGCGAGGCTATGCTCATTACTGGGTCTAATTATAACGGACCTATTCCGCCTGTTTCTATTGGGGGCTCCTTGGTAACATGGGTTAAAAAATCGCGCCTACTAGGAGTAACGGTCGACAACAAACTGACATGGTCACCACACTTGTCAGAAGTGTAAAAGAGCTTCGTAAGTAAGCTCAACTTCCTGAGAAAATCAATATTTCTTCCCAAGAGTGTACTGGAAAATTTCTATTTAAGTTTTATTCTGCCATCTGTCACTTACAGTCTAGTCACTTGAGCAAACTGCAGTAATTCAGAGCTATTCGGGAAGCTGGAAAATCTCCACAGTTATGCAGCAATTATTTTTTTATAATTTAAAGGACACGTCGAACGAAGACTCTCTAAAGATAGCCAAATGGCAGACTTTGGCATACATCTTCAAGGACAAAATCTTTAAGTTAATGCATAGTGCTTATAATGGCTTATTACCAAAACAACTATGTACTAGTATCATTAACAAAGGGAATGTCGTGTTTATTGTACCTAGATTTACATCTCGTTGTTTACAGCAATCTATTGGTTGCAGAGGGGCAGTCCTGTGGAATGCAACATATCAAACTCTTTCCCCAGTGCGACGAACATTTGTTTTTCTCGGTTCCAGGTGTACGCAACCACTTACCCCACGTAATGCGCATGCTCTCCGTTACGAATTTTCAAAATGGCGGACAGGTCAAAGAGGGAAATTAAAAAAACAAAGCGATTTTGCAATAAATTCTCAACATACACCCTCGTTAGAAAGGCGAATCCACGAAAGAAAGATACAGAACTGTATGATATTGAGATCGATATGATATTAAATCGATACCGAGGGCCCGTTTAATTGCCTTCCGCCACGATTATTAGCTTTCTTGACAGCTTTCTGAAGACAGAATACTTTCTTTCTGAAGACTTCTTATATACGGCTATTGATTATTACACCTCGTATACCTGATTGCTCAAACACTTTGTTTACGATTGTTGAAAGGACCGACTCATGGTCCTCCGTCTTCGTCTTGACATTGCTTTGAAATACTATAGACTAGTAAGCTGAAACGAAAAATTAATCAGGGAAGTTTACGAAAAATCCAGCAAACAAGCTTTAAAAAGGCATTTATTTAGACTTCATACTTCAACGAACTTCACAAATCTTACTTGTTTATCTTGTAAGTAAACGATGGCAGATTAATTCCCGAAGCGCTTTCTGAGTTTCCCGATCCCTCTTCTACTGCTTTCACGCTTACAAAACAGGAAAAATCAAAAGGAGGAAGATACGGCTATTTTGAAACGCCATTTGACGAAGGTAAATCTGCTTTTTGTTCGACAATTTACATATCAAAACAAAGGAAATTTGTTCCTCTTTTTGATTCTGGCGGTATATTTTAAATTTGCGACTGCGTAAAAGAGATATCGCCCGAGACCCTTCGCTCGGTCGTGTTTTGATCAAAAACGCCTTGTTAATCTCACGCAACCGCTCGGAGAAAAGGTAAAAATGAGGGGGGAAAAACTTTACCTTCAAGTTAGAAAATTAGCGAAATAGAAAGCCACAATATTATAGTTTAATATTTCAGAGGTACATTGAGTCCCTCTTCCGTAGAGAATCCGCACGATGGTAAAACATTCGAAAATTTCACTCGATTTGAGTGGGGTGTTGAAGTGGGCGTGGTCATTACATTTATGTTAAGACTATTTGTACCCCATGAGTTTGATATGTACATCGGAAAACTCTGATATTGCTTCTGAGCCACGTATAGCTATCAGCTCTAGATTAAGTAAAATTAAAGATTTCACAGACTTTACTTTTAAAGTAGAACCAGCTTCTACAGTTAATTTTTGGAATCGGGATTTTAGATATTTTTAGGATTTTAAGATATTACAACTGTATTTGCATGAGATTTTAGCATTTGTTATGAGCCTCAGCTAGTTGTTAAGTTTCTTATTAATTTGATTAGATAACTAAACACACGACCCCATAAGCGTTTAGCTTTTATCATTCATCGTGTATAAATAAAGTCGATGTATGATGTATATATGTATTGAAAGACCTAATAGATCTCTAGATGCGCGCAGTCACATTTGAAATTCCCCGAAAGCTTCCGGAAAGTCGAGGAGAGATCCAGAATGACTAATGTCATCCGCCACTGCACAATAATAAACGCCTTCCACAACAGAAACAGTACAAAATATCGGTATGCTAGAGTTTTACAATTTTGACGCCATGGTTTAAATCTTTTATCGCTTGCACGAGCCACATTCCAGTTTTTCCCATTCGTAATTATATACATGCGTCACACTGTCACTATATTCTATTGTAACGCGAGGATACCTGTTTGCAAGCTTTTTTTCCTGCTTACAACTCTTGAAGGAAAAAAATTGTATCTCTTCTGCCTCGAAACAAATGATATACTTACTCAATTACATACTTATAGCGTAAAAGCTATCGGCATGTAACTGAGTTCCTTGTTTTTTAAAAGCCGGGAACCACAAAATTTTGTTTTGGTTCTAAGGTTCTAAGTCGGCGTAGAATCAATCGTCAAAAGCTAATAGGTAAATCCATTATGATGTACAAGCCTCACAGAATGGCTCCCGAATATCGATTTTACGTTCAAACGTAAACTATGTCATTATGGCTTCGAACGAGACACGGCATCCTTGAAAAGCAGCCTTAAGAAATGATGGTTCTTTTTTATTTGATTAGTTAGTTTAGCTAACCTCCATTTTCTTTCCTTGTGCGGCTGCTGTAACATTTACGTTTTGCAATATTTCAATATCAATTATGTAACTTTATAGCCGCTTCCCAACTCACCATTTCCAAAAGTAAGCTTCCAGGGTCGATGACAAATTTTAAAATTCGTCCCTCCTCCTGGTTCGATATTGGACCCAGACCAGATTCTAGTTCAGCGATTTCTCCATAACAGCTTGTCTCCCTCTCTGTGTTCATTTCTATCCCCGTTTCCGTCCTCGAAGACTCTGCTACTCCGCAGTGAAAGTTCAGGTGAATTTTTAAGCTACGGAGGATATCTTTCAAACATCTGTCTAGTCTTTCTGCTGACACTGGCTCTATTTTTGTCTTGTAGTCTTCTCTAAACGGTTTTAAGACTTCCCGACACATTTCACTGACATCATCCTCTATTCTGTTATTTAACCTCGTGATTCCTTTAGCTAACTCGTTCATGTACTTCGCCGGAATACTTGTTATAGATGGTTTCTGGCCAGACATTTTTTCTAGAATAAAACTTTGAACCGTTGTTTGTCGCAGTTAATTAAAAATACTGTGTACACATAAATAATTTTCTTTCGTTTGCGAACAGCCGGCTGCAGTTTGAAATCCGATCGCAGGCGGAGTCATCATGAGCTTCTGAAACTTTGAAACGTATAAAAACAGGCAGTTGCTAACTCCCACTAGTTCCAGGAACGTTGAAAGATTTTCAGCTACGGCAAAATTAGGAAAATCCCTAAACTTAAGTGATAAAAGATGGAGACAGAAATTGGTCAGCACCGCAATCGAATCACACGGAAATCGAATCGAATCGAATCGTGGGAAAATCCTGTTTATTCTTAAGTCTCACAGCATTGGTCTATCTTTTGCCATCTTATTGTGATTAAACCAATGAAAAATAATGTTTTGATGAGTGTAAACATATCCTTCTTATGTCATGGAAACCAAGACAATTTTAATAAACAAACTGAATTGCTGTGAAACTACCTATCCTCGCGACAGCATCTTTCAGGAACTTGTCGCCAGTCAAACTTTTCGAAAAATGTCCGTCAAAGGAGGCGAAAAACGTGACCTATGGCATTCGACTAAAAGTTTTGATGAGAAGCTAACCAAATCTGGAGTAGCCTATAATCCTTACAATTCGCGCAAAGGACATGTAAGTCAGTTTGGTTTCTGTGCCTTTCACGAAATATTTAGCTGTTAATTAGTTACTTATCCAGCATTCTAACAGCAGTTTATATTATATTGGAGTACTAAGGTAGTACGTGTGTTGTATATATCAGAGAAAGTATGCTTTGTGCAAAAACTTTTAGCAATTTTCTATTTATATTTTCATGACGACTTGAACCGTTCAGGTGTGACACGGGCAAAATATGTATTTCTGTGAACATATGTTTGAGCACTGTTACCTAGTAACATGCGTGACGTATTTTACGTAATGTTCCACTAAGTGGCTAAGTGGATAAAGATAAAGCAGATGTAGTTTAGAAAATGGTTTTGATCTTTGAAATTCATGAAGATTTCGTCGATGAAAGATTATGCAAATTCACGCCTGAAATTGAAGTGAACCGAAATTTGAGCTTTTTGTTTACATAAGTTTGAGTGATATTTAAAAGTAAAAGTCTGTCTTCTTAAAGCGAGGACATTGTTCACTGAAGGGAAAGGTTTCTTCGCTTTATCATGATTCAAACTTTTTGGTGATGTACTACTGATCGCACGAGAAAAATCTTGGTTCGGTAAGTTTTTTCGTTTATCAATTGCCATTTAACCGTCGTTTGGGGAAGTTTCCCTGGTATTATATTCTTCTCGTGTGAATTTCACCAATTTGCAGAAGAGAAAGAAAAGCAACGCAAACGAAAAAGATCGAGAGGAAGAAGGAACTGAAAAGACTGGCAAAATTAAACAGCGTCCTTCATCTTCACAGCCGGGATTTCCAAGCTGTACCAAGGTAAAATATCTAACTAGCTAACGAGTACATTTTACTGCAAGTTCTATGAGTATTAAGTTATATATATATATATATATATATATATATATATATATATATATATATATATATATATATATATATATATATATATATATATATATATATATATATATATATATATATATATATATCATATATCATGATAATTAGAATGAAAATTCTGTTTAGCCGCCATCATTGAAAACATGCAAACATTTTCTGTTTAGCCGGCGAAAAACTTGCCAGACAAGTTTTTTCTTTAAAAATCGGACATTTCTGTTCAGGTTTCTCTGAAAAATAGATTTGTTCTCTCAAATTTCTGCAATTTATCAGCAGAAAGCTTTTCGGTCCTAAGTTGTTTGCTTCGCGATTCCGAAGTGCTAGATGGCGGCTCTTTGAAATCAAGTCTCAATCACAAGTTTTACGGGCCTTATGACTTTCAGATTGGGATTAAGGGTGTATCGTAATTTTCGAATCTTTGGAAGATTTTAATCCTTTTCATCGTTAAGTTTTCTCGCCTTTTGTAATGTAGATAAACGACGCCAAATTGTCTTCCGCGCAGATATGTGCATTAATAAGACCGGCTGCAGTTTCATCAACAAATAGAGAAGCCTTGACTGTGCTCTGTTCAGTTGTAAAGCACGTAGGAGGCGGCTAGAGCAGGAAAGAAGAGTAGGAAGAAACACGAGACGTGGTCGAGTGTTTCTCCCCACTTTTTGAGTGCACAGTCAGGGCTTCTCTATTTGTTTTATAATAAAGAATCTGTTAAATTCCCTACACATTGCTTTCAATTTTCATAACAGACTTTATTTTCAAAGCGAACCGCAGAGTCGTCACCATGCTATATATTCTTTATATTCTTTATATTCTTATATTCAAGCACGCTACAATAAGCCAATCAGAATCCTTGGTAGGATGGTTCAAATAATCTGACTGGTTGAACAAAACTAAAGCTGTCAAAAATTTCAAACCATCAAAGTCTACAAACCATCAAAGTTCACAATTTGTAGTTGCTTACACACTGGAATAGTTCGGCAGGTCGAATTTGACACGTTTGCCTGAAGGTTTTGTCTCAAATACAGAATCTTAAAGTGAAATGTTCAGCGAAATCCGGCCAAATTGAAGCTTATAAAAACTCACGAGTTTTCCACTTGACGACTAGAACACAAACTGCTCAAGGCGTGTGTTTTATGAATGAACGACAACCGAATTCACAGGAACATAAAGATTGCTCGATATGAAATCGCCGTAAAACTCGGCTGCTATGACTGATGTGGCCTTCCACTCAACGCATCGGAGAGGATATCAGGGAAAACTCTCAGTTGTTCACTCGAAGGGCGGTCGATGTGATTTCTGAGGCTTGCTTCCCTGCAATGACCGGATATCGCCATGATGAGCTAGCCGTGATGGACGTCAGCATGATCGCAGTCGCCTGACTTCTTCGTTATTAGTATGAATTGTTAACAGTTATGCCAGTTTGGCTATACTTTTGATCATTCCTGTTCTTTTCTGTTTTGTTTAATGAATACGAAAATGTATATACTACACAAGTATTAGCTGTGTTTGATTTTTATCACCGTAAGTAAGCTTGCAATCTAACCGAATTTGAAAACCTAGAGGATTTTTGTCTCTGCTTGCGTTATGATAACGTCAATTACGGCGCTTGACACGTTTACAAGTCTTTGTTTAGTTCTTCTGTTGCTATTTGCCGACTTGCTTGTTCCGAAATTTCACCTACAATTAACAAAAAGAAAGCTAGAGTGAACTCCGGGAAAAGGTCGGATATTGTACATTTGGCAGTTGGCGTGACAGCTTTAGCTCGCTTCCTCTTTGTGCCATTCTCTTCAAGAGTACCCTGTTTCAACAAAGGACAGCGCGTGACACATCCCAACTTTATTATAATTTGCATTTGAAACATTATCCATTGGATATATTCTTCTCATGTGAATTTCACCCATTTGCAGGAGAGAAAGAAAGGCAACGCAGACGAAAAAGATAGAGAGGAAGAACTAACTGAAAAGGCTTGCAAAATTAAACAGCGTCCTTCATATTCACTGCCGGAATTTCCACGCTACACCAAGGTAAACGTTATGACAAAATATTTACCTACCTAACGAGTACACTGTACTCCAAGTATTAAATAATACATGTATATACCGTATTTCTTCACCTATAAGCCCAGCGATTTTTAAGTATTTGATACAAAAGTTTTGGAGATTTTTTCACAAGAAGCGGGGTTCGGCTTATAGCCGAGAGTTTGGGATTAAAAAATAAATACAAATTTAATGTTAATGCGAAATGACCGTAAATGCAGCGCTCTTTACGTGACATGCTTTAAGTGCCGCTCTCGCTAAGAGCGGTCCTCTCGACTTCCCGTCAAAAATGATTTTTGGCAAAACCACCCCTGTGGTAGCGATCGAAAGTGTAAAATTTCAAAAATTTTGTCCAGCGCGCAGCGACTGCAACAATGTAGCTCACGGAATTCTATCTTTCTACAAGTTACAAGATGTATTCAGTTAGTTCACCGACAAAATATGAAAACGTCAGCTGAAATATTTTTCACACCAGTGTGATCAGAGGAGACCCTTCTCTTCGACCTTAATTTGCATATCAAAAATTCACTACTTTGTACGAAAGAATTCTCAAAATACAGGCGTTAATCAGACTGAAAAAGCATATCAGTGCATAGTTTATACACCAATGAGGTCACAGATTGCCTCAAACCCGCGGGTATATCTCTAGCTTACATCCACCAACATCTTAAAAACAACGCAAATCCATGTGTTTGCTCTCGCCCCATGCAAGGTAATCCAGGACAGTATTAGATTCTGGATTCCAAGCTATGGATTCCGGATTCCAGATGTTGGATTCCGGATTCCAGATGTTGGATTCCGGATTCTACCTGTGCAGATTCCGGATTCCAAAACATAAAAGATTCCAGATTTTACTTTCTGGTTTGCTCCTAATTTTTGCATTTCGTCTTCTAGGAATGACTTCAATGGCGATTTCGTTATTGAAGGACATGTTGTGTGAATGCATGTTTGTATAGTCATCTTTACATAAAAAAGTTTATTAATTACAAGAAATATATTACAGCAAATCAAGGCATAAATTTTTCTTCTAAGAATACCTATTGAGACTGTCTGTCTGCTAGGTCCAATGTCCATTCATTTTACATCTTTTTAGCAACTCTGAAGAGGTGTACCATATTTCTTTCATTCAGGTTGCTCCAGGTTCTTCAACTGATTTAGCGGAATCAAAAGAACTAATAGTTCAAATCATTGCTTATCATTTTTAATTTTTAAATAACTGTTGGACTAACAAGTTGTTTTAGCAAAGCATAATATTTTCTGACTGGGAAAAGGTGGCCAATTTTTGTAATCCAAAATTGACTTTATGGAGAACTGTCAACAAAACAACTCGAAAATATTTCCCTATCATCTCAAATTACTTTTTTAACTTTCCTTTTAAACAAAAACCATAGTAGTAACGAAAAATTTAAACTGAAATATAATTTTAATAACACCCCGTGTATGTCGCAAATAAATCGCAGACTATGACCAAGAAAAGCTTGTTTTCCTATATGTAATTGGCGATGATGTTCGACGTTATGAGATTGCGCATAAAACGGTGTTCAACCAACTCAACTGTACTTAAACCTTTGCAAAATCGCAAAAGATCTGCATTTACACGGTAATTTTCCAAGAATGAGAGATTCGCTTTTCTACAATTTCTTTTCTCTTTATGAGGTTAGCCAAGTCAAATCACATTACGTCGGCCATGATTTCTCCAGAGCAATGATTCTAATGATTCTTTCCTGTTTGACCCTAAAATCTGGTTGTATCTTACTTTATTTGTACTGAGATATGGTGCCTTATGAAATCTTAAATTTTGTTATTCCGAATGTCAAATATTACAGAAAGCGGTTTATGTTTAAATGTCGAAATTTTGACCTAGAAATAGACCTCTCCCGTCTTTATTAGTATTCAGATATATCTTTATTCAAAGTTTATCGTAATTGGTAACGTGTGGTCTGTCGCTATGTTGGAATCCAAGCATATCCTGTGGGATTTGAATGCTGTTATTACGTAAACAATCTCTTTAGTCCCTCTAAATTTACACACCCATCGACCACGTGAGTGACCTGCACTCTACAGTGGTTGCATTGGTCATGATAAAACGCAGACTGCAGACCATGCAGACTGTGCAGACCGTGCAGACTGTGCAACTTTTTTGTTTGCTTTTTTAAAAATGTTTTTTACATATGATTAAGGTGTATACACCATTTTCTTACTCTTTCGGTAACGTTGCGACAGTTTCCAATTTTTGGACATCACATGAGGAAATTTTACGAGGTTCTTTCGAGCTCGCGTTATCTAGCAAGACAAAATTGCGGGGTCAAGTTTCTCGAGCTCGTGCAGATTAGCCCCACGCGGCAAGATGTAATTTGTGTGGACCGTGACGCTGACTTAGAGGTAAGGATTACCTGGATCTTCACAAGACAGCCCAAAGAGCTTTACAGTAAAGAAAGTGCTGCAAACTAAAATCGAACTTTACTAGGAAGGTTTTTGAATCGGTGTAGAAGACTGATCGATAGTTACTGAGTAGGGAACTTTGGCTATGTCGGTATCGAAGTCGATTGGGTGATAGGTCATTAATGAATTTGTCAGTTTCTCGCGAGCTGTAACAGTCGAAATTCTCTAGCGAACAAAGCGCGGTCTGCATGGTCTGCAGTCTTCATCTTAGCATGACCGTGGATGCATGAATGCGCGTGAAAGCCGTCTATACGATTTTAATGGATTCTGGATTCATTCTTTAGCGGGATTCTGGATTCCAAAAGCTGGATTTTGGATTCCAATGCCCAGTATTCCGGATTCCACGACCAAAAATTTCCTGGATTCCGGAATCCGGATTACCTTACATTGGGCGATTGCTCAATCGCGCTCGTGTCAAAGATCCTTTGCATGATTCTGAAAATTGACTAAGATCTCCTTTTGACCGTTCAAACTTCGTTCTTTTATCTTCTACGTTGAGGAT